CCGGACCTGCCCCAGGCCCGACCACCGCGCCCCTCCACCACGGCAGCTCCACCAAATATACTACAGCCCCAACTATCAAGGATACTTCATCCTCTGCTCCTAGCCACCACTCTGATAGTCCCACCACAGTTTCCCCTACGTCTGTCAGTCATAGCACTTCCTCTCAGTTGTCTGTTAGTGTCTCCTTATTCTTCCTCTCTTTTTACGTTTCGAACCTTCCGTTTAACTCTTCCCTGGAAGATCCCAGAACCAACTACTACCAAGAACTCCAGAAAAACATTTCTAAATTGGTGAGTACCTGCCTTTTCTCCACGAAGTCTCCTTGAAACTAACCGAGTATTCAAACCTTTAGCATCAAGCCTGAGTGCTTTCTTTCTCACTTTAGTTTTTGCAGATCTATCAACAAGAAAATTTTATGGGCTCTTCTATTTACAAGTTCAGGTATAATTCCGGGGAGTAGTTTCCGTGGGAGAGGGTGGGAGGGTGTTATTGGCAGGTCTGTGTTGGGGGCTGGTGCATCCCGTGGTTGTTATCTTTGGTATGGGAGACGTGCTGAGACTAAAGGGCCTCATTCCCTGTGACAGGCCAGGATCTGTGGTGGTAGAATCAACTCTTGCCTTCCGAAAGGGTACCACTGATGCTAACAGTGTGGAGACACAGTTTGCTCACAGTGAAGCAGAAGGAGCCATATATAACCTGAACATCTCCAGAGTCAATGGTGAGGCCACTTTCCCAGCCACAGCCTCTCTTCCAGTATCAGGATTTCTGCTCTCTTCATCTGAGCTGCTGGTGGAAGGGTCACCTCCTTTGGGGAGGCTGTCCTGACCACTGCTTTTCCTTCTAGTGAAAGAAGTGACTTATTCTTCCTCTGCCCCATCTGAGTCTGGGGTACCAGGCTGGGGCATTGCCCTGCTAGTACTGGTCTGTGTCCTGGTTGCCCTGGCCATCGTCTATCTCATTGCCTTGGTAAGTGTTGTGTTTGGTCCTGACTGAGTTGCTCTGCCAGAAGGTGCCCCAGGCCCCACCATAACCTCCTGTCTTTCCAGGCTGTGTGTCAATGCCGTCAAAAGAGTTGTGGGCAGCTGGACATTTTTCTAAGCCGTGATGCCTATCACCCTATGAGCGAGTACCCCACCTACCAAACCCATGGACGCTATGTGCCCCCTGGCAGTACCAAACCTAACCCCTATGAGGAGGTAACGATGTGGGCCCTATAGGCTGGGTGGAAAATTAGGGGCATGAATGGACAGAGGTTCTCAAGGGGTACTTGTAAAATCCAAAGAGCTTGAAAGAGATGGGAGGTGGCATGAAGTAAGCAGTGGAGTGGAATGGAGGTCATAGTTCTAGGGGAAAGGCCTGGGGATGAGACCAGGGAAGAAAGGGGACTGAGTCCAAAGGGAGTGCCCTACTACCAACATTCCCAAAAGGCACTCACTACCTGTCTACATTCACCACTTGGCTGAGCTAGTCCCATGGCTGCTGCTCGCTTGGATGCCCAGAGGTGAATGGGTGGAGCAGTGTGCCCAGGGGAGCCATTCCTACAGAGTTCACAAGGAACTCAGAGTTCACCTCTACCCCTACCTGTCTCCTAAGAATGGAGGGCAGATTGTGAAAGACAGGGTGGGGATTTGGAATGTGAAGGAGGGAGAAGTTTCACTAAGCCAGGAGGCCTCAGGGAAGCAAGACCCTCCTTCTTTCTATACCCAAACCACAACCCACCCATTGCCATCCTGCTCATTCCAACATGTAGCAGCCTTAGAGGCCACAGCAGAACTGCTCCAGAGGGGTTCCAAGACTAAGTGTTTGCAGAAGCTGACTGCCATGTCTTTCTCCTGTGGATTGGTTACCATCCGTGGGCTTGATCACTGTGCCACCAGCTCTTCTCATCCGTTTCCCACAAGACCTAGTAAATAATTACTGTGGTCACCTGGGGCTAGAACGCTACTCCTGGTGGGGGAGGGGAGAGGACTTTCTTTTCTTGCCCCCATTTTTCCTTCCCATGGGGACCTACCTCTCCCAGTTTTACACATACCCTACCTTAGGCCTGAAGAGTGAAGAAGGGAGGAAGAAAGGGGCAGGAAGGGAGGGTGTGGGGGCTGATTAGAGCCCAAGGGAGGGAGGGAGAGAAGGGGAACAGAGGGAGGGCCCTGTTTACAGTCACCTGGCTGCTGGTGGGGCCCTGCAGGTGCTCTTTCTGAATTAACCATTTGGGAGCTGGCCAGGCCCTTGGGACTGTTATCCCAGTCTTTAGGGAGCTACCCAGGAGTTGTGGGTAAGTGACCTTTCCCAGGAAAGTCTCTGTCCCTTACCTGGTGTGTCTTCTTCCCCCCTCCCGCCCCCCTCCCGCCAGGTAATTGCAGGTAATGGCGGCAGCAACCTGTCCTTCACGAACTTGACAACCACTTCTTCTGCGGACTTGTAGGGGCCTGTCTATAGAATGAGTGTCCAACTTATGTCTGTCACCTCTCTGGGTTCTTCACTGCCAGAGCCCCTCCACTGTCATGCCGGTGAATTGGGGATTCAGGTGGAGTTGTTCTCACAGTCTTCAGAGGCTTCACCAAGTCTAGTCCTCTGACTGACCCATTTGAACCCAGGTGAAGCCCATCCCTGCCCACAGGGGAGATGCCTGGGACAGAGGTGTAGTGGTGGTCCCCAATGGGCTGGTCCAGAAAGTCTCAAAGATGGTTGTAGAAACCTGAACTTGACTTAATAAAACACGGGCCTCCATAGGCACCAACTTCTGTTTTATCTGTGACCCTCTAGAGATAAGAGGGGCAGTCAGGGTGGGTGTGTACTTGGAGGGTGGTGAGATACCTGGAAGAGGCCTCTGGGAGGGTCAGGGAGGAAGGAGGCAAGAGGGAGCTGGAACAATCTGAGAACAATCTGAGAACAGAGAGGTGGAAAAGGAGGGGTATTGGGGTACATGCGTGATTGGCGGAAGAGCTGGGAAGTCACCTCTCCCCCATTCCTGGAGGCACAAGAGGAAGAAGGAAATGAAACCTAGGGCTGGCAAAAAAACCCACAACAAAAACCCTTAGGCTGACTTGAGAAGGTCAGCAGTGAGCAGACTCCAGCTGTGGCTCACAGCTCTCCCCTTTGCTTGGGCCTGCGTTTCACTAGCACTGGTGGTGGTGGCTGCACTCATCCTCCTCTCCCCTTGGCACAGTGCCCCCAGGCAGCTCTATTCTTAGCTGCTCGGGTGTAAAGTAAATCCGTGGGCAGCGATAACAGCGGCAAAGTCAACACAGCCTTGATAAGCAGGGTCTGTGTCAGGTTCAGATGCTGGCGCTAGGCCTGGCTTCCTTCCTCCTTCTCTCCCTCCACTTACTGGTTCTGGGGTCCCCTCCCCAGTACCCTGGGAATGAGGAAGTGGTTCTGGTTCCCTGATCCTTTTAGGCCCAGGCACGGTGCCTGCCCCCTCAACCACACTTTCTCAGGGGCTGGGCACCACTGCCCAGACACCGTATCTTGGTGCTGACGCCAGCAACCAGAGAGATGTACCCCTTGGTGGCCTTTGCCTCCGGAAGGGTGGGCAAGTGTATGGCAGGGGCTCAGGGAGCCCTGGCTTGGGGGATACCCCTCCTTCAGGTGCTAGGTCCACTAGGCACCCTGGGTCCCTCCCACAGGCCACAGCAAGCACAGAAACCATGAGGAAAAGTCAGGCTGAGGGATGGCAGAGAAGTGCCTGGCATCACAGTTTATTTATAAACCATGACAATCACAGCTGTTGCTTGGCACAGGCCTAGTAGTGCCCACCGCAGGGAGGGGCAGCAGTGGGCACCAGAGCCTTGCCTGGCCCAACCCAATGGGGATATCCAGCCTCAGCTGGGGCCCCAAGGGAGACTTGGCACATTGGCATGTATGGGGCAGGTAAAGCATGCAAGAAGAGGAAGGTCATACAGGGCATGCGACTGGGGGCATGAGGACCCACATAAAGTAGGGCAACAGGGTCCTCTTCCCCTCCCCAGGGAGTTCCTGGGCCGTGTCTGGCCCCAATGCCTGCCCACCCCAGGGCTGTATTCATTTAGCATCCATGGGTCTGGGAGCTTGTCAGAGCTGCAGATATGCCCAGTGTTCTAGATGCCCTCCCTTCCAATCAGCCTGGAAGGAGTACAGGACAGGGATGGGGAAGGGCCTCTCTTCATGACTTTGGGTATGATGCCAAGGGCAGGGCATAGGGCAAAAACTTGGTGGGGCAGGGGGTCTGGACTAAGAGGCAATGGAAAAAATGCTTGGTCAGGAGAAGATCCTGGGGAGACACAGACACAGGGTACAGGGCAGGACCATGTGGTAGGAAGCTTGAGGGAAAAGCTGCTAGGGAATAACCCGGCACCAGGAGGCTTGGGGAGCCAGGGCCCAGGAGGAGCCCCATTCCAGAAAAGGAGACTGGGAGGGTCAGTCCAGCTTGGCAAAGCCTCCAATGGTGACCTTCCTCTCTGGCTTAGTGCCCACGGGCTCCTGTAGCTGTACTGCACCACCCCCAATGAAGCAAAAGGCAGGGCACACAGGCCCCGAACAGTCCAGGGGGCACTCCAGGAGCCCACGGAAGGACACAGCATCCAAGAAGGAGACCCGGCCCCGCTCATAGTCCAAGCAGATGCCTAGACGAGGCGGCAGGGGCACCGTGCAGCCAGCTGCTGGGCCGTCCCTCCCTGTCAGCCCGGCATTGGAGCTCGCTGCAGACCCCAGTAAGATCTTGCCCATGCCGATGGTTAGGAAGGCAAAAGGTGGCGACGCCTCCACTGTGGCATCTTCGGCACCGCTGTCGTGCCCACTGTCTGGGTCGTACCTGCAGGAGTGGGTGTTAGGTAGGAGGATGTTGGGGGATGAAATAAGAGGATGGCATATTGGGTACCAAAGGGCTGAGATGTTGGAAGAATGGAATACTGGGGAGCCAGAGGTGGAGGAGATCAATTTGAGGTGTTGAGAAGAAAACATGTTGAAGAGATGGGTTAGAGTACATACAGAGATGGAGGTGTGCTTTGGTGAGGAAGGGGACTTGAGAGGAAAGCATATTAGCAAGAGAGGTGCTGATAAAGCATATTGATGAGATGGGTGCTTACTGAGAAAGGAAGGTGGAGAGAAAATGGTGCTGGGGTTGGTTATCATGCCAGGCAAAGGGTTTGGAGGTCTAAGAGATGTTAGAAAAAGGATGGGTTAGTAAATAAGATACTGGGGAAAAAGAAAGGGACAGAGAAAAGATATTGGGAAAGTGGGTATTAGGAGAAATGAGGGTGGGTCAGTGTCATAGATGAAGGATGTTCAAGGGAGGTGGGGCTGGGGTTTAGGAGGGAATTGGTATTGGGAGAAAGTATTTTGAGGAAATAGGGTGCTAAGAGAAATGGTTCAAAAAGAACAGCATATGTGGAAGGGATATTCAAACAGGGTTGGGAAAAAAGTTACAGAGATGGGATGTTTAAAGGGAAATTTTTAGGATGTTGAGAAAAGATGTGGGTGAAGGAGGCATTGGAGAGAAAGGGTTTTGTGGAAGAAGAGTGTTGGAAATGAGGTACTGATAAGAAAGGGCATGGGGGCTTGGAGGGATGGTACGTTGGTCTTAAATGACAGGTGGAAGAAGTAGAAATGGCTCCTTTCTCTAATAGCCTCTTCCCAGACCACACACGGTAAAACTCACTCCTCAAAGCCCTTCGCTGAGCCCACATCTCCCTAGACCATAGAGCTCCCAGCCTCCTACCACACTTCTTCCTTATTATCCTCCCAAGCCCTGCCCCAGCTAGTCTGACTCTACTGCCATCCCCACCCCACCGCACCCCCCAACTCCCACCCAGGGCCCACATACCCCTTCCAGAGGGGCCTGACCTGGGGCTGATCACATCAGGGGCACCCTGGAAGCTTTCCTGTAGCTTGCTCTCCAGCCCGACGCCCACCTTGACCAAGTAGGATGCTGGGTCCACGGCGCAGGCCCAGTAGCTGCGGCCCTGGGTCACGGCCACATCACCCAGGACCACATCCACACTCAGGTGACAGCCGGTCAGCAGTCGCTCAGCAGCCAGCAGCAGGGGCAACCCTGGAACACTCCGCACTGCTCGCTGGTCCTTGCTGATGGCCAGCCGCTCTCGGCTTGCACCCCAACGGCCATCAAGGAAGAAGTGCAGGACTAGGAGGAGGGAGGGGTTCAGACAAAAGGACTTCAGGGACAGACACTGGCACTGGGTACTGGGAGATTTCAAAATGGGACAAGTTGTCAAGGGGCTCAGTCATTAGGAATGGGCAGGGGACACAGGAGAATAGGGCCTGGGGAGCTGGCCTGGGGGTATAAGGAAAAAAGAAGGGGCATCCCAAATGGGTATGGGACCCCAGGAAAAATTTTAATGGTGGCTGATGGGCACAGTTTCCCAGACCTAGTTGAGCCACAGTGCTTTCTTCAAACATGGCTGGTCCAATGGACAGTCCCATGACCACACTCACACCTGGCCCTTACACTAAGCCCTGCCTCTGCGAAGAGCCCCTATGTGGGTGGTAATTTCCCTATCATGTCCACACCCCACCCAGGGTACACACTTTTCTAGATATACACTTTTCTAAGATTTACAGAACCCTTACAATGAATCAGAAACAGTGCTAAGGCTTTACATATATATCCTTTTGCTTAATTCTCACAACAACCCTAAGGGGTGAGTATTAAGAGGGGGCTTCAAAATGTTTGTGGAAAAACCCCATTATCTTTTCTTTTTTAAAGCTTTTATTGTGAATTGAGTGATAATTTACTGCGCAGATGGTCAGTTTTAGACGCAAGAAATCATATTTTGTTTCATTGCAATGATTATAATCCCTTCTCTGCACTATTGGTTAACAGTATTTACCTCTATTCCCTTTTTTTTTGATGTACACAAAACACACAGAAAATACATATTTGTTTAAAATGTCCAACGGGCACATTTTGCAAATCAGCCTCCTGCCTGCAGGCACACAGCTTTTCTCAGTCCGTAGGCCTAGAGTCCTCAGCTGCTCTGTCTCTCTATGCCACGGCCTTTGTCTCTTTCTCTATTGTTGCTGCTTTTCTGGTTAGAATCCCATGCTGCATTCATGTTCTTCCCTCTTCATGGTCCTAGGGTCCCCCATTATCTTTTAATTCCATTTTCCCAGGAACTTTCTGAAGCCTCCTCATATTATCATTTCCATTTTATAAAAGGGGAACCTGAAGAGAGAGGTTAAATAACTTGCCCAAAGCCACACAGTTGGTTAGAAGCAGAGCTGGGATTTGAACCCATACTCCTGTGTGTGACCCATATGCTATATCACCTCTGCAGTGCCCACCCTGAGCCAGTGGCAATGCCTGGGGCCCTGCATGCTCCATGCCTTTCACAGGGCCACTCTTGCCTGCCATATTGTGCCCACAGATCACTCACCAGGGGCTGGGGGCGTGTGCAGGTGCACGTCTTCACTGTACTCGCCATAGCC